TTAACATCTAAGTCCACTGCTGCATCCCAGTATCTTAAAATAGAGAAAATAATTTTCTCATCTTTTTGACATAATATGAATGCTGGCCGAAAGGACAACTGGTTTTGTGAGTGACTGACCATCGATAACTTAGATCTCGTTGAAAGCAATGCTTACTACGGAAAATAGGTTAACGGCTGAAATAGACGTCGATTGAAAGTAAAACTAATGCAGCGATGGTTCCAGACGGCGGACGTGGTAGGCAAGAATCTCGACTGCTAAGTCGGTGTTCGCCGGTTCAAATCTCAAATGCGGTAGAGTCTTTTTTGGTCGTGGCTATAGTGAGTGGTTAGTCGTTAGAGGTACAACACTTAACGATTAGGCACATGGTTGCCCCACCGCGACCACCATGTCCTTATCGCTTTGTCTTTCCTCATTTCTTTCTAACCTTCATGTCGTTACACGAATAAAGCATAACCTGAGTGATTGTCCATATTAAAAAAAAGCAAATAAACGGTCTATAGTGTGACAAGGCCCACTGTTAAATACCCTATCCCATCCCGCAGTTATCCGCTTAGGCTTTTTAAAACAGGGCATTATAAGGGCAGCCGTTGGAAAAGTGGACCGATCCAAATCTTTCTCAATAGCCTACGCTCTATTTTTTCAAAATACCTCAAAGATTACCATTGCAGATTGAGCAGAAGAAAACAAGGCGGACACGTGGGCAGACGGACACCTAAGCTTAGTTTAATTCCGAAAACGACTCTGAATCGATCGTCTTAAGCCCTTCTGGATGTTATAGACGCGTGTAGAACCTTAATATACCCTGCAGCACAAGTGATATATGGTGTATAAGAAAATTTGATTTTAAGGCGCTTATGTTCGAGAATGAAATTCGGTAAATGGGTTTGAGCTTAATAACTTAGTGGAGCTTAGCGAGAGATAAATTGAAACTTGAAATGTGATGCATTCATGAAACATTTGAATATTCTTAACAAAAGTGATAGAAAAAGTCGATTTAGGAATATCTGAACTCCTATCCTGCAATTCGTTTTGGTTTGCAATTCTCGTTACAAAGATTAAAATCTAATGCAGACCTTAATGATGTTATATAACACATCACTGATAAAGTCCGTAGGATGAACTATATGTGATGGCACTATTAAAGAATCCATATCCATGTCATGAAAATTGGACACATTTCGTTTGCAGGTTGCTACTATCTAAGAACCGTGTTTGTTCATCAATAGTCATTCTCCATCTGTATGTCATCCTACGATCTTATCGATTGATGTATTGTATTATTATAAAGAATTAAAAATCATTGAAGCTAAGGCACTCTTCCAATATTTACAAGAATGCTATAAATACACCCTATCCATACGCATTATGAACATGGCACCCATAATAGATATGTCACGCAGATATGGCAATCGTGCGTTGAATAATCTTTGGGATGTAAATGGTTTTTGTTAGCCTGAGGTTCTGCACGAATGGGGAATGTCCGTCATGCGTTCCAGTTAAGAAGTTTCGTTCAGTTTTCAAAAAAACTTTTTCATCTTTTTTAATGAATATTAATTTTAATGTTTTTTTTTTTTTTTTTTGTTTATTTAATGAAACTTTTTTTTTCTTTTTTAATTTATACATATAAAGACAATCATAATGAGATGTCATGAATTAGGGGCGTTTTCATTTTTTTCTGTTTGTATTTTCAAATTCTTTACTGAACATTTATTATGAATAATAATAATTAATAATTATTGATAATTATCGTTTACAGTTGTTGATTTTATTTCTTCAATTTTCTTCTTTCTTTTTATTTTCAAATAATTATTTGTTATGTTTCGTAATAATAAGAATTTAAAATATTTAACAATTTATAATATTAATTTTTTTTGTTTTTGTTTCTTTATTTTTAATTTTTTACTTTTTATTTTAAATGCAGTAACAACACAATATTTTTTTTATTTATTACTTTATACTTATCAATCAATATTTTTAACAATCTTTCGCTAAAAATTAGTCAAATGAAAATGTTTAAGCTAAAGCCGAATACGTCCTACATTTGTAAAGGAATACATATAAAAAAAAATTTTTTTATAAACAAAAAAAAATGTTAGTTTTCTTTGATGGGTAGAAAATGTATTTAAAAATACAAAGTTGAGGTATAGAGAATGCGATTTTTCTCATTAAAAAATAATCAATTCTTTCTGTGTTTATTGCTGTAATTTTCATAAATTATTGTTTTCGGTTTCTTTCGTCTTCATTATGGGAATATATATACATATATATGTATATATATGTATGTATACATATGAACATATATTATGTATATTTATACATATATATATTAATTACATTTCACTGTCAATCGGTAGTGATGCTCATGTTAAAGAGAGTATTTTGACTAGAGTCTAAGCGCATATAAAACGATTAAGAATGAAAAAAATTTATTCAACTTACAGGTTGAACTATTCCGCTACACTCCACCTCCAATCCAACTCCAATTCACTAATAATACAAAATATTTTTTATTAAATGTGGCTGTAACGGTTCTTCGATTGCGTTAGTAATCGTTACACTGCACACCACTTGCCGTATAATGGTATATTAGGTTTGTGCGATACCGAGATAGACTCACGTCCTATTATACCGACGCGATTCAGAAAATGCTTCTAAGCTTGCCTGTCCATCTGATGTCTGTCCATATATTTTTGTATTTATCTTAGCGCTAAGGTGTTTTGGGCCGAAAAACAAACGCTATCAATATATGAATTGGAACGAACCACTTTGTCGACCATTTCCAATAAAACGTCCTATTTTAGTTTTCAATATTTGGCGACAAAACCCCCTAGTTAATAGTGTTTGGTCATTGTAAATTCGAACGAAAGATTTAGTTTGGGTGGGGTAATCGTTTGAACCTCTTCTCTTATAATCCTTGCTATGGAAAGTGAATCTTTATATAATTTACAATATTTCTTCCCAAAAATTTGGTCATAATAATAATTTGACATGGAAATGAATCTTACCGAATATGGGCCTCGCAGGTTTAAGTTTTGGATCCCATGCTATATAAGGGTTCTAATGAAAATTAGGTCTTTGTAGGGCAACAACGTCCAATTTTTGATATTTTGTAATGAAAATTCTATTCTATTTTTTGGACATCGTCGCATACAAAGAGTGTTATGAAATATTAAATCTTATGTGCCAAAAAGGTGGCATTTTAAATATTTAACGGCGAAAATGGGTTCACAGTAGCAGCGTAGCATTAAAATAAATGGTAGGGTATTTGGATTTATTTTTTTAGATCCCGCCATATGTAGAGACGGTTGTGAAAAACAAGTCCCTGGTTTGTAGTTTGTAATGACGGAAGTAACCGAAAACTAAAATCTTTGACGAGTTAATTAAGTTTGCCGCGATAGTTGATTTGCTGACCATCCTCCAGTATTAAAAGTATCCCTTCAAATAAAAATAATCTATAATTTTTGGTGTACTATGACGAAAATGGATGGATGACTGTATTAAGCGAAGTAATCTAGGGTATATAATTGTGGACCTTGTCCAACTATACTGCTGTTATATGATTTTACGCTAAATGTAAGTATGTGCGTAGACTGATCGTGCTCATATTTTTGCTGAAGTTTTATATGATGCTTGTAAATATTTATTGCTGAATTTCACACTTGTTGGCGATGTTCATTGCCTTCTCGTAATAAATTACGGATGGTTTGCAGAAACTTTGACACAAGCAAATTGGAATGATACTCTCTACCTATTCTTTTTTCTTGGTGATGGTGAGCGTTACTTTATCTATATATGTCAAAAGTTAGATTTTATTAACATATAAGAAGCAACTTTTCGTGGGGAATCATTTAGAGTAGTGGATTCGGAAAATAAATTAATATGGTCTAAATTTATTATAGTAAATCTTTATGTGAAATTAATTTTTTGAATCCTTGTAAGATGAAGAGTTCCGGAGAATATACCTGAGTGATATAAAGAAAGTGTAGTAAATTTATATGCAAAAATGCCTCAAAAATTGCGATCCTTAGATTAAACATGACAATCTATACACAAGCGTGGGACGGACGGACAGAAAATGATTCTGAACCGATCAATGTAGTATAAACTGGCTTCGTCTTAAGTTCTTCGTCGTTTTACATACCTTCGGACAAACTCAAATTGCTTCATAACACAAGTGGTGTGCGGTGTAAGTATCATCAATATGATGTCGTGAATGACGCAATTAGTGCTCTGATGTTGTTAGCACGATCTTTGCAATGGGCAAGAGAAATAATCGTTTCGATATGAGAATGTTGATCGATTTCACGAAGATCACAAAATGCCATCACTTCTGTTATTAATTTTTTTTTTTTTTTTTTTTTTTCATTATATTAAAATTTCATATATTTATTTAACTTCGATAAGGTAAAGCGCTTCTCCATGAAAACAATTGAACAATTTGCTTTTCGCTAGGCTCAATGTATTTTCCGACGTGAACGTTACTTTTATATATGCATATAATATATATATGTATATATATATGTATATATATATATATATATATATATATGAATATGTTAACATGTGTATACAATTTTTTAAATTATTTCTTAGCGAATTGATTACGTAGTAGTTTGAAATGAGCATTTTGTTGATATATAGTAAGAAAGTTATCAATTTAGATTATCGTTCGTACTAAAGTTAGGATTTCAGTTATCGTTTCAATATTTATAAAAAATTTCATTTCAATTTCATGTTGTTTCGTTTTTCCTTTCTTTTAAATAAATTTAATTTTAATATTAGTTTTTATTACATATAGAATCAATAAAAATTTATTATTACTTTTGTGTATTAGTGTTTGTAAGGGTTATACAAGGTTTTTTCAAATTTTAGTTTACACTGTATTCACTAGAAATAATGGCAGTTTAGTTATATATAAATATTTATTTTAGATTCTTTCTCTTTTTCTTTTTTAATACATTCTTAAGTTTTCATGATCTTGCGAAAGTGTTTAGTTGTTTAGGCGTTTTTTTTCAAGGACAAGTGTATACCATATCGTATTTTGAGGTAAGAAGAAAATATAATTTTTCAAAAGCAGACTTGTCCAACTTATGGCTTTGCAGGTTTTAGAACCCATAATAAACAATTACCTTATGTTTTATGATTTTAAGCAAAAGAGTAACAGGTAGCAAGACTTAGCGTTTATTTGGCGAAACAATTTGAGTGAAGCCGTAATAGTCGAGAAATGTGTTATCATACATACTTATATATACATAATAATAAATGTGTATATATAGGAGAGTTTTCATCTCGCGGGAGCTGGAATTGAAATTTGTTGTTGACCATAAAAAATACGCAAAGAATTGAAAATGAAAATTGCTCCTCTTAAAATTGAACGGTGACCGCTTATTCGCTTTTCCCAGTATTGAGCAACGTTTCATTCCAATCACACCTTTGCATCAGTTGTTTGAGACATATGGAGTTTGAAAACTCTGTTAAAATCTTTGCGATTTGGAGTTTAATAGAGATTCTTCGTTGCCCCGACTAGGTTGTGTCACTAGTAATTGCAAATCCGCCTTTTCTCCTGTTTTTATAAGGTTTTGATATCACACGACTTAGAAAAATAAAGTGCATAACTTTTCACACGGCTTTATTCAATTTAGACAACTGTTCCATTTAAACTTAAAGCATAGCTTCCTTCTGTATACTTATATAGAGTTTTTCTAAATATACATTTTTATGTATATATATACATACATATACACGTACAGGATAAATGATTGTCATGTAAGGAAGTTTCTGATTGCGTTAAGTATTCGTTTCAAGTTGGTAGTTTCTTAGGTACCTGTATGCTGTGCCTTTGTAATTGCAAAGATATCCAAGAAGTGTCGAGACCATAACGAATATTCGGTAATTTTCTATTGCAATTCGTTAATGTTTGACAACTTTGTCGGGAACGTACGGATAAATGAACTTTTATTCTCTTTTATTACGTTTCCACGACGCGAGCAATTGAAAAGATTTAATATATGCTAATGATCGCTCGGTGCATGCATAAGCACACAATGAAAACGAATTCTTCGCCTCTTTTAGGCACCTTCCAGCAAGTTATAAATACTCTACTGGCTGCAGTATCTCCCTTTGGCATTCATTCATGCCAATCGATTCAACTAGAATACGCTCGAATAGTTTCACATACATCTGTGAAGCGTTGGAGAAAATATTCTAAAATCCTTATAACAATTTTTTTAATTTTTTTAGGTGGACTTTTTTTTGTTTTTTGACATAGCTATCAAATGAATTTTCGCAAAACATATTACAAGGTAAGCAGATCTTTCTCATAAATACACAATCCAATGGTTTTACCTATTTATGGAGTTGGAGAGTTACATTATTTATTGACGTTCTGTCAAATGTGTATGGCAGGACAGTCAATTTGCAAAAGGCGAGTTATTGCCTTTTGCAACGAAATTGGTTTAGTTGCATTAGGACGAAAGTGCATACCGAACAAAGTTTGTAAAACTCACTTATACTGCGTTGATGAAACAAGTGAATGATATGGAGTATTTATCGAGTATCGAGCAAAAATTTTGTTCTCGAGCAGACCAATCCACGCCCCTCTAAAATGCCTTTCAAAGTAGATGGGACGTACATATTCATTGATCTGCGCTTATAAGTGACTTTTTTATTTAACCAAAAAATCGATTTGCCTATGAGAGGGAGACTGCTATGCTGATGGGGAGACGACCTAAAAAACTTGCAATAATCTTCTCAAGAATGTGTTTCTCTATATTTGGCATAAATCTTCTACTCCGCTTGAACGTCTAGATCGCTTTGTACAATCTGAAAATTATTGTAGTGAGTTAGATAAAAGATTTTTGCCAAAAAATCATAATTCTGCGTTCGCATTTTGCATAGTCTTCACTTTCGGATATACCTAATGCAATACACAACATATTCTGGAGCTGGTACAGTTCTCTAATATACACGTTTTTCGTGCCAACTGTTAGATGAGACTGCATTACAACAACAACAAAATCATAATAATTTCTTGTATAAGTATAGATGGACTATTATTTGTAGTAAATGCATAAAATTTCTGGAACATTCTCATGTTAGGATTTTTTGAAACGGATCTTATGACCAAAACAGGAATCTTTGAAGCAAAATAAGCAAACCTTTTTTCAGCAGTGATATTTTGAAGATTTCATTGAAAGCTGAATTTTAGGCGAATAAATAGTTTTATAGCTATAGCCAACATTACGAATTGTAATTTTTGATTCCAATTCTTGTGTCTGTAAGAGTAGTGCAAATTTTCGCGAAAAAAAAAACAAAGCCTTTTGAATGCGAGCAATAGACGAACAAAGTTGTGCGACTCTCTACAAAATGTCATCATGACTCGTCGACAGAAATTTTAATAAATGAAGGTAGATAGGCGTTAAGACTGGATTTCCACCATATCTCAGTACTCATTATTGAATCCGGAATATATTTGCATCATAAAGTAACTCAGTCTTTGTAAGCAACTGTTACGATATGCTTTCATTTTGTCTACTTCTTCAATTTTCTGATAAAAATCTCGCGCTTAACCCTCACACTTCATTTTATTTTCTGACAACCATCCCTCTTCCCTTTCAAACATCTACTGGATGACAATGCGTCGCACTGTATATACGTTAGGAAAAGATGTTGCTTTAAAAATTAATTTTCAAAACCTTCCCGTAACCTTTGCCTAATTAATCATAGATCAGTTTTCTCCAAATCTTTTTTAACATATTTTCTCTTGTTTTTTTTTTTTTTTTTTTTGAAATTTTAACTATTTTAGTTTGCTATTTAACCTGGAACATGATTATAGTAAAGTAATACCCTTAAGAGATGTAAACTTAAAATTACTTCTCCATAAATTGCTGTTTAATTCTAGAACTGCGTGAGCCATCTCGACGAGGAAATTCTTCTGCCTGAAGTGGAGAGAGAAGAACACTTTTTGTAAACTTTGTCAAATATCGCAAATATTTACTAACCTTAGATGAACTGCTTTTGGAACGATTAGAGCTGGCCTGCCGCGTGGGAAATTGCAATTCATCATCAGTGTAACCACTGCATTCGCGTGACGAATCACTAAAATCATTCAATGCACTTAATGCGCCGTAGGAAAATTAGAATAAAACACAAACCTTGGTTCAATTCCCTCTTGAGTTTCGGGTTCAAGTAACGGTAACATATCGTCGCCCTGTTGCAAAAGATCGACTCCCGCTCGGGGCCCCGTAGTAGAAGTTGTACCACTAGTACCACTGGTTTCTCGTGTGCCTTCATGACACTCACATTGACAGTCTTCTGGTTTAACATAGTTATAGTGCAGTTTACCATCGGCGTGGCTGGCACTTGTAACTGCGGCTGCATACTCTGATTGCAGTCGCTGCGACGATTGCTGATGTTGGCCAGCTGTTACTAAGGCTTGCGCACTTACCGATTTTGTTTGACTTCTTGTTTGCGTGGCTGAGCCGGTCACACTATCTCTGGGCAATGTAGTGATACGTTTAGGTGGTTTCCTTTTCTCCGGTATATTTTCAAAATCAATCCAATGACCCGAAAGTTTTCTTTGAGTAGAAGTTGTTGCAGTTGTTGTACTCTTACTGGCTATATTTATTGTTTTGCTAAACGGTCCGGAATGAGTTTTGGTGTTCCTTATTTCCTCTTTTGTTTGATTAAGTTGCTTCTGTTGTTGTTGCTGCAAGTATTTATGAGAATCTTTACGTTCCAAATTTCCCGAAGCTCGCAAACCTTCTTCCGCGAACTCAAACCAGGATTTGCCACTAGCATTCGCCAATCGCCGGGGTGATTTAGTGCTTTGAGCTTTCTCTTTATTTGGGTCTTTACGTGGCAAGCTAATACGCAGCTTTTCACCTCTAACCGGCACCGAGCCAAACATTTCGAAATTCACATTTTCACTTGCAGTAACAATGCCGCAATATTCTTCCAAATGCGAAGGATTTAAGGGGGTGGTGGAACGAGGTCGTTCAACGGGGCACATTTTCAATTCCATATTGGCGCGTTCCTTCATGGGTATCAGCGATACTCCTTGAGCTCGCTCTTCAGGTAAAGTAGTCGGGATATAGGGCAGCTCATCCTCGAAAGATTCTTGCGACACAAGGCCGGTACTTTCATGATCCTCGATATAACCGACATTAAGCGACATATGCTTGCGTTTCACATCAACTGTCATTGGGAGACTAGCAGCACCAGATCCACTTCCCCCGACCGCATTCGTTCCTAAATCAGAGTCTCTTTCGCTTTCTGACGACTCCAAGGGTTCGTCTGTAGAGTGCATCGATTGTCGGTCGTGTTTTTGGAGTTTTTTTGGAATAACTAATGGTGATTCTACCGCAGCCATGGTCGGCGATTCACTTTGGCTATGTTTTGAAGGTGTAGAGGTGCGTGGTGGCTTAGGAGGAGTTTGCCGTGATCGCTCTACCGGTGACTGAGACTGAGAACGCATTGTACTTTTGGGACTCGACGTCGAAGGAATGATATCTCTTAAATTGGGTGAAGGCAACGGTGTGGGTTCGGTTGAAGGCGGCGGGGGTTGAGGCAGCACTGGTTTTCTTTGACATTGCTCGTTGTTGTAAATGACATGCGTAATCGCTTTAACGGTCTCTTGTTGGACTTCAGGTGGGTGTATATCCTGGTGACTGCTTTGCCTTCGTGGTTTGCGTGGTACATTCGGCGGTACATTCTCATGATATTTCCGACGCACATCAAAATTTTCTAAATAACGGGAATGGCGATTATTAGTCATAGCCACTTCATTGTCATCTTCTGAGGTTGAGCGAGATTTACGACGTGGGTCATCGGACGCAGAAATTTTACGTCTTAGCACCATTACATTGCCAGTATTGACATTCATATTGGCGACTGGAGTTTTTGATTTCTCGTCTTCTGAAGTTGACAGTGACTTTTGCCGTTGTGTTATACTTCTCTCTAAAGAACTCCCTGATTTTAACTGCTCTTTAAAGTCTCCAGAGTCTTTGCTTTTAATAGATTCTTTAGTTTCAGCTTTTTTCATGCTATAACTTTCAGTTAATTCACACACTTTAGACGTTACACCTTCCTCTTCATCCGGTCTTCGTATTACTGTACCTTGGCGACGTAAATTTTCAATTTTTGTTGGACTTTCCGTCAAACTTTCTTGAGCTTGCTCTTCTGACATATGGCTGGAAATACTTTCCGTTTTTGATATACTAAATTGGGTAGTAAAAACTTGTTCTTGACTGCCGGACCCTAAACGCGTCGCAAATAATAATTTACGTCGTTCTCGAGCTGCTGCCGATTCCTCACGCATAGCACTACTATTAATTGTAGCTTTGGTTTCCACCACTTTTACCTCGGCCGCACTAGTCGTACTTTCAACCGAAGGTAAACGATGTATTTCCGCTTCCGCTGCAATGCCGTTTTCTTGACCCGTATGCTCTTTTACATGGGCTAGTTGCGAACGATTTCCAGTTACCCTTATAGCGCTGGCATAGCTCTCTGCTGATATTATTGTTTCTTGCGAATCCTGCGAGCTATGACGATTCACTTCCATACTCCAGGTAGGGTCTTTACCGTCATCGTCTTGCGACAATGTATGTATAGCGTCAAGATTTTCTATGCGACGTATTTGTTGAGGACGTGGTGGTATTGTAAATTTTCCAGAACCTGATGATCCTTTACGAGCTCCAACTGGCTTAAGAGCCGCCGCAGCGGCAGCCAAATCACTTACGGTTATTGGAGCTGCAATTACCTTTACTGGTTCAGCATTGAGTTGCTGTATATTCTGAAATACTTTACGAACTTCTTTCTCTTCAGGTGGTGTTCGTAAAGGAATGTGTATGAATCCTTCAACCGGATCATCGTAGTAACGTAACCGACTATTAGGTCTTGAACCGGTGGAAGTAATTACTGGCGTTTGCGACTTACTGCGTGATTGCATATTCTGTAACTCATGTCCGTCAATCGGCGAAGAGGATTTCGAAGTTCTGGCTGGTTCAGTACCGGCGCTACTACCTCGTTTTCCTGTCTTAAATATTGCTAATACTGATTTTTGTTTATTAGGTGTAGCTGCCTGTGATTGAGGAGTTTGCCGATCTTTACTTTTACTACGGGAACGTGATCGCTCTCTAGGCGAATCGGGAGAATCTTTGCCACCCAAACGAAATAATGAGCTGAAAGATGACTTACGCGATACTGATATGGCAGCGGGAGAAGGAGAACGGCTACCATGTAAATCTTTAGGTCCCATTATCTGCCCTCGTAAAGTTTTTGGACTGGCTGTGGGCGTCAAACGATTCTCCGTTTCTAAGTTCTTTTGAGTCAAGCATAAGGAAGCCGGTTTTTTTTGAGTCGTACTGCCACGTGAATATACGGGAGCTAGAGTGTTGGGTGCTTCCACTATCTTTTCATGGGGAGCTACACCTTTGTCATCGTACATGTGATCAGGCTTAAGGTTGATACGTATATACTCAGTGCCACTTGGTGTTTTCCCGACAATCATTTGTCCTGGACTTTTGATGTTACGTCGCTGTGTTCCCACAGAAGATTTCGCATTAAAGATTTTCGAATCGGGTCGATTTTGAGCCAAAATTTTTTCTGTCAGCTTATCGTCACCATTAGTCAAAGAAGTTGGTGGCTTACGTTTCGGCGAAGATTCAACTTTAATTCCCTCAGCTAATACTGCCTGCGTGGGATCACGAGTACGTGCCAAAAGAACTTGCTCAAGCAGATAAGTTGTTGGTGGCTCCGCCGTTGTACTCAACCCACCATCTACCATACTCTCCACCGGTTTTGGTCCACAAAATGATGTTTCCAAAAGCATACGATGCGGCGAAGGAGAACGTGATAAACCGGACACCGCCGACAAATGGCTTACTGCTGAACCTTGACTACCGACGCTAGAGACACGACTAGTGCGTCCCGATATACATAACAAGGCAGCAACTTCGGAACTCGCCGAATCCTTACGTTGATGTTGTTGTAAATACGCTTGATGATCATCAAATTTAAATATATGAGGCGAAGATCGTTTAGGCTGAAAATACATGAGCAAATTAAATATTGAATCTCTACGGATTTCAATAGCTTTTCATTAGTTATTTCCGTTTGCATTTTAATTAACTTTTCACAACTGTTTATTTCTTATTTCAATCACATGTTGAGTTGAATATTTATGTCTACCTATACACATAATTAAAAATTACCGTTCTAGTATTTGCACATGCACGCACACATGCTCGCATATTATTGTAAAAAGGAAATGTCGAAAACTGTTGACATTATTGTTGTTGTTATTGTTATTATTACTATTATTGTTGATTTCATTCATTTAAAAATGTAAACTAGCAAGTCGAACATCAACAGACCAAAAAAGGAGAAATTTCCTTCATTTAGTCGGTTTGTCAGTTCGTTTGTCAGGTCGCTCAGAATAGAATAGAAAATATATGCAGGTGTGTAAGTGTACATATATGAGTCTTGCGTGGAAAGTAGAAATGTTTTGTTTCGATTATGTCGAGTATGTCGAATAAAACCGCATACGTACGAGCAACGTACGGTCATGGCACTGTTGTAGCAACAAGTTAAACAAAACTTAAGACAGGCTGGAGCATTTTCCCTCAAATCTATAGCAATGAGGTGTGCAGTTTTTTGCCTTTTCTCCCTCTTTTTGCAGATAACATTAAGTGCCACCGTCATGTTCAACGTTACAAAAGATTGTTTATAATTAAAATTAATGTTATATGATTTTTTCTCTTTTTTTGCCTTGAGCGTCAAAATGGAATTAGTGCGTAAAAGAAATTCTTTCTTTTCAAGTATACATCAAGGTTCTAACTAAAAAGGCTTGCTACAAACAAAAAGAACATGGCTGCGTCAATATCAAAAAGTTTATGTTGGTGTTAAAACTTCTCGTTAAAAAAACCTTTAATTTTTAATCTTTGATCAAGCATTGATTTGTAGATCTGCGATTCTAAGGTTTTTCATAATCATTTGCAAGGGATTTTGAATTTACTTAATCCCTCAGCACATCGGATTGGGTCGGTCTTCATACTTAAAAATCATAAAAACGTAATTTCTAACTTATCTAAAAAAGAAAAAAAATCGATTTACAAACATAGAACGTAGATTCTTATTACAACAGATACAACGAAAGCTGTCAACTACTGTCAACAAATTATGAACGCTATCCTGCTGCATACACAAAAAAATTCAAAGCCAATAGGACAATCGCATGGCACAAGTCGGATCACGCTAAAATAACCCGGTTTGTCAGCGGACATCGGGACGTTACGTCTCAATTTTTTAACTTTCTTCGAAATGAAGCTTTTTAGTGAGTTTTAAACGATCTTTTTGTCACCTGAAAATGAATCCACTCTATTGCTCTATGGGAGCGATTTTTTTGGAAAAAAGAAAAAAGTCAATTATTCGCTGTTTTTTTTTTTTTTTTTTTTTTAAATCAATTTTTGATTTTGAGTCATATTTCCAGAGAGTTGTTGCATATTTCCCGTAAGTAAGAAGGATCTTTAGGAAAACTTTTGCTTTTTAAGACAGAAATGGTCAAGTTTTAATATATTATGATGAAAGTTGATGCATGATAGTAGTTTGACATCAAATGTAATTAGGCCGAATTTGGAATATGTACCACAATTTTTGGACCTTTTTCTTTGGCACGGCCATGCTTACGGAAACTAAATCTTTATTTGTAAAGAGGTCTAATTTTTAATCTACAGTTACATAGTAGTTAGTTCACATAAAAAGAGGGCATATTTTTGTGCTCTATGAAAAGTAGTAATGTGGGATAGGGTATTTATTAGTGAGCTTAGCGCAACTACGAAGTTTTCACTTGTTTTTTTTCTTTTGCCAAAATCAAAATAAACCTTTTCCAAAGTTTGAATATCTAAACTATATGAAATGAAATGGGTCAGATCACGTATAATATTAAAGCACTTTTAAAAATTCTTAATTAATTTCCATTTAAATAACCGAGAGATAACCATTTGTGTCAATAGAGCAAATATTACACTGAAATAATATTTAGTGTTGATAGGGGGAAACAAACACAAACACCTGATTACATATAGATGCCTATTCCGCATACATATCGAGAGTAATCCGAATGGATGCATACAACATTTGCAAGCACGTCAATAACCGTATGTGTGCATTTTGCATATGTACGCAGGGGGCCTCAATTGTAAATTGTGCAATTTTTTGTTTTTTTATATTCAGTTCCACAAGGCGAAATACAGTTAACAATGTCGTCATTCAGACAACATTGTCGTGATGAGCAGGCAACGACGTTAATCGAGAACTTGAATTAATTTCTAGCGTATTTTTCTTAATAAGTACGCTCAACTCCTTTTTTACGCGGCCGATATCATCCTTGGAACGAAGGTATGTGCAAAAAATCGCATAAAAAATACATGTGATATGTAGTAAATTTGAGGATATATTTCGCAACTCAATAAAATCGTGTAAAATGAAGAAACTCTAAATATGTTCCCAAAAGACCGCGCAACAGAAGTAATAATGAAATCCATATGAAATATTTATGAAACAATAAAAATTCATTTCTATTTGCAAAAGAAATGAAAAAATTAGTGTGCAATAAAAGTTCACTTCATACGTGCGACATATAAAAATTTCAGTTGAAATTAGGAATAAAAATTAGTTTCTCAACTATTCATCGCTAGTTGATAACAAGCGAGTACGTTTATCATGGGCTAGACCAATAATCATTGAGTTTGATTCTAATGAAGAATGGCATTCGTTATTAACGCCGTCTGCTGTTTTTCTTGCTGTTATAAAGTTTGCTATTAGCAGCGTTTTTTTTTTTTTTTTTGTGTCTTAGGATGCTTATATAATCGTTGATGCCCAGCTGCGCAAAACTTAAGCGTACGTTGAACTAGAATTAAAGAAAATTTCTATTTGGGATTCGTGCTAGAACAAAAAATGTATGTAAGAAAGTGTATGGTTGCTTTTTGGTGAACCGGATAAAAAAAGTTCGTGTGAAAAAAGAGTTGAGTTTATAATATAGTTAGCTCATAGTATACGGAAATGTATATTATTTAGAACATCACTACTTTTCTCTATTTGTTTGATCAACATATCTACCAGGTGGCAACGGGCTCTTACTTCAACAGGATTTGTCCTATTAGCTAAGCGAGTGCTTCAAACAAGAAGATAGCGAGAACAAAAAAGAAGTTCTCTTGTTAATCTTAAAGTCCTCTCAAATCCTATTAGTTGCTTTAAAACAGATTTCTTTTACTTTACCGGCAATTTATGTGCAATATATGGCGAGATTCGGCATTTTATTATTTCGGTTGACTGTAATACAGCTATCAGCCAGTTTAGGGAAGAGCATTTGCAGCCGACTAGATACGAATTGTCACTATCAAGTCAGTGATCGCGGGATCAAATCTCAGTACAGTAGAGCTCACTTGCTTGTTAGCTATAGTGAGCGCTTAGTCGCAAATTACATGGCACTTAACGATTTGAACACACACACCCTGAGTGATTGACCGATGTTGTCAAACATTGTTGTCTACAAGTCGGATGAAAGTTCGTGAAGTGTGGTATGAAATGTTAAACGAAGAAAATTAATTCAAGCTCCCAATAAAATATGTGTAATATATGCTGAATTGTAGGTGAGAAAATTTAATCTTTCCTACCAACAACTGATTTTGTGATGATGATGACGATAATGACGTTAGTCACGATGCCGATGATGTTGGTGATAGTGATTTCGGTTGTCACACGCACACAATTTCTAATCCTGTTAATATTGTATACTGTGGCCGATGTCGTTGTTGAACACTACAAAAAAAATCTATTGGGGACAATTACGAGACTTAATTAAATCATATTTCAATTTCTCTTTTAACTTGAAGTCGCTTCTTTCAATATAAATTTAAAAGTTTTCACTTATTTTCATCGAACTTTTATTAATTTAATAAACTTGCTTAGGAGATGTTGTTTCCTCATTTAAAACGAAAACTACAAGAGTGCAAAATATTCTACATTGATTTTTTCAACAAACTACGTAATGTAAGCAACAATATATTGTTTTATTTTATTTTATTTTTTTTTTTTTTGTTTTTTCTTGCTTTAGTTTTTCAATTTATTATAGTTGTCATCTAGTAGCATAAAGTTTTAGTTTATTTCATTTATTAATTTAAATATACATATATAGTTTTCTTCCAACATTCTATTAGATATTCAGAAAAGTTAGTTTCTTTCTCTCTCCTTTTTTTTTGTTTTTTCTCTTTTTGTTTTATTAATTTTCTAAAAACAAAACATGCATTGTCTTGATGCATGTAACCTTTTGTTGCAGAAGTTTCGTTGAAACGTAATTTCTAATAAAATATTCCCCATTTTCATTCAAGGTGGCTTCATTGTTTTGATGTTGAGTTCATTACTAGAATAAGGATATTTATTGTCTTTTGTGGGTGCTTAGCTACAATATATATAATATAAGGTCTTTTGATTTCATTTAATTTTCAATAAAAAATTATTCTACATGAAATCGATTTTTTATAAATATATGAAGATGGCGAGTGGCAATCTTTTAATTACCGTTTCTAAGAGTGATGATCTCGTAATGATAAATTTATATGCATACACTTCTAACTTTTGTACCGTTTACTCAGTAAACTACAGCTTGCAGAACGGCATACGCTTAATACAAAGTTTTTGAGTTAAGATTGGAGGAGAATATGTTCCTCTGTTTGAAAGTTTTCAATAAACATTTCAAGCGTATTGTACAATTAACTAACTACACTGACAATAGTAAGGGATGAATGTCGCTTAGCTTAGCTCCTTTTCGGACACTTTAGCGATTATCTAAAGACAATGATAATGATTTCATTATTATTTAATGGAATGGAATATACCCACATTTCTTCGGAAAACTATCGTGCACACCGTTATTTCTATCTTATAATCATCTGCCTATTTCTATTTCTACCTAAAGTCACAACCACACCTAGAACCAAAGCCATAGTAGTAGACATACTAGCACTGATAGCGATAGCTTTGTCTACAGCAATAGAAATTGCGATAGCAATGGCATGGAGGAAGGAATTCAAATGCTACCATGGATTACATCTAATACATGCTGACCCCGTATAATAGACAGGTCTGAAATTCCCAGCACTGACAGATGAGTGCTGTGTTTAACAGAAAATTTATATTATTTTGTTAAAGGCGTTGACTCTTCTGGCGACCGCAGAATTTCATATCATTTCGATTATTTATTTCTACAAGTGACGATGGCCTTAGTGGCGCTACTTTTGGTATTTTTGAATCAGGAAAAATTCACTCATTGCTTTTTTTATTATATATTGGTTTGAATATTGTTATGGGAATTCTGCTTCGTCGAAACAATCTGTTCATGGGACACGCATACTGCTAAACGGACTAAAAGCCCAAAAGAGATGATTTACACCAGAAACACATAAAAAATAAAAATACAGAAAATTACGCTCGATAGTCGAAAAGTGAAGTTACAAAAGTGCACTGAGATTGTAAATGTATAAAAGGCAGTGAAAATTTCCCTTTCTTCTAGAGAGCTGGATACCGTGTATACTCACAGTGCCTAAAGAACATGAACTGATGGCAAAATTGCAGGAATTGAGGCGCGAAGAGCTCCTCTAACCGCAGTATTTTCTCCATTGCGTTCTCACTGACTATTATTTGTTGGCACAAAATCACAAAGGGATTTTGATCAAATGATGCGATTACGCTAAACCGCAAATAGGAAACATGTTTTGAAAGTCTTGAAAAGTTCGGGAAATGTTGGAATGACCGCATTATTCTTGATATTGATTTTCTCGATGAATAAAAGGAAAAAAAATTGTTTCTTACTGCCGTCCCAGAAACTATTAATCAATATAAAACATTCGATGTGAGATTGCCAAGATTAGAGACTTTGTTAGAACAAGAAAAAAGCCTGCACATGCATGAGATCTACCATCTAAAAGTTGACTGCTAAAGAAATTTGTGCGAAGAGATAGGTAACAATGATAATGATTATTGTACAAAATATTTAATGAAAGAGTTGTCCGCGTCAGGTCTGTACGCCTCCAATTCAGTTTTCTGAAAACGTGTTCTATGACTAACGTTATTGAGGGAGCATAAAAGGAAATGGCATAAAAGAATTTTGCGATGTTATTGTATTAAATGTTAGAAACGCTTTCAACAGGCCCGATTAGAAAACCACTAGTAACAGTCAAAAGGTCTCAAGATTCTCTTCGCACCCCAATCAAATGGCAGACACTTGTTTATAAGAGAATTTTGTACGCACAATACCTAGAGCAGATGCCAAAAAAAATTACCACAGAAGTATTCTAAGACATCATCCCAAGTGCCTATCCTCAGAATCTAACATAAGACGTTGTAGTCAATTTGAATCGCCCAAAAAGAGGGTAAGAGAGTGGATTGATCAGCACCGTATAGCTCGGATAAGTAGGTAGCTTTGTAACTCTAATCTAAAAGTTACCACAGAAAAGAACTGAACCGATATAAGTGACACACAAAATCACAGCTTAGCTTGATATATTACTTATTATACTTGACTAAACACACTTCTAATTGATATTTGGAATAAATTTGTTTGTGGACTGAGAACATCGATTTTGAAGATCACAATTGTATCGCTCCTATCCTCAATGCAGAGCGCTAAAGAAACACGATTTCATATTATAGGTGGCACGAAGTAGATGATTTCGGATGGGATGATATATGGTTTTAACAGAATCCTGCAATCCTGCCGTACATACATATGTAACACGATCAGTTTATGACGAGAAAAGTTCAACGACCATGTAATATATAAAGACCTATACATAAGGTTGCCACAAAAATCATGCGATATAACTCTATTCGACTTTTTACTTTGGGATGACCATCGTTGACCATTAGCCTACGCCGATAGACGACGAATTCTCAATACGTTTTTAATTGAACTTAAAATAAAAACAACTAAGAAAGTAATATTCGGCCGTGACCGAATCTTTTATGCCCATCACTCGTATCCTCAAAAGGATTAAAAAAAAGATAATAATTAAATTTTGATATTTTATAATATGGGATGATCGCGCCTGATTTTTTCTATTTTCAGAATAAAAATAGAAATTTATATAGTGCATGCGCTGTACATTACGAGAGACAAGTAAAAAACATGGAAAGCAAATGGTATTCTCAGCTTTGGTTGTATAGACGTGCGAAAGTTGCACACGTATCCTCTGATCGGGTTGGATTATTTTCAAATTCTTGTGCCTATTTGAAGGCGACGTCTTCATTTTAACGAATGGAAGAATGCTAACGATAGAAACCACACGGACATGGTAACGTGCATCCCAACTTTGAAACTGGCCAAGAACTTATATACTTTGTTGGGTTTTTGAAGCTTGTTTCTGCGCTTTTTAAAAGTGTCTGCCCGTCTGCCCAAGCATGCAGCATATGTGGTAAACATTCTTGCGCTAGCAAAAATAAAGATTCGCCTACAAATTCGCGAAAAAATTAGGATGTGTGCCGAATTTTTCAAAGAGCACCCTTACAATTTCTGAACGGCTACGCGATAAAAATTTTTATTTTGGAAGTAGAAAAAAAATCGGCCACGTCCACTCAATATTATTGTTTTCTTCTCGGCCCTTGTTTGGTGTAACGATGATAGGTATAAGAGATTCGATCGCGCCCGAATATAATTTTCTTACTTGTTTAAGATATTTTCTTGCTCCAGGAAGTAAATAATAAATCTTGTGTTGGAATCTTTGCAATTTAGGTACACTACACATATTACACACAGTGCTTAACGTAGCGGAACTGTTGATTAAAACTTGTTTGCTATTAAAAGAAGGGCCCTAAGCTTCGCGTAAATATATTGTTTTTTGCGATTGCACTTGTATCGTGAAGATTGTAAACTAAATATGCTTTTGATACAATCTTTTTTTCTTTTCTTCTTTTTTTGTTTTAAATTTTACAATAAACTTACCTGTTGTTGCATTTGTTGCTGCTGCTGTTGTTGTTGTTGTTGTTGTTGTTGTTGTAGCAACTTAGCTTCCTCCTCTCTCTTTTGCTGGGGATCCATGAAATATAATTCTTCTGTAGAGCTGCGCAATTCTAGAGCGCCTTCTTCACGAAAGCCTAAATCAATTGATTCCTGTAGGGTGCCAGTGCCCACCTTTACTTAATTAGTTTTTTTTTTTTTGGTTTTTTGTTTTGTTTTTTAAATTTTGAATTGTATATATATAAAAATATAATTTTCCATTTTTTTTTTTTTTTTTTTTTTTGAACATAAAATCACATCAATTTATTTTTTCAACAAATCAAAAAAAAAAAAAACGCAAATTAAAATTTTTTTTAATTAATACCAAATTTTCATAGAAATCGTTTATAATGGATACCAGGAAGACGGATTAAAAATACAACGAAAGAAAGTGGGCATAAAAAGTATAATAAGAAAATGGAATACAAGCAAAAAATTACCATTAATTATACATTCTAGAAAATTAAATATTAAAAGAAAAAGAAACAATTATTGTTATTCCATAAATACTGTGACCTATTGTGTAATGCTTATGGGATAAGTGAGAAGAAAAAATCAAAAGTGCAAGTGGACGTTCAAGTTTTGTATTATTGTCAACCTTTAGCGAGAACTCGTCTCATTCATTAAAACATTGTCCTATGTGATGAAAATAACAAAGACATTTTTAAATCAACCACGATGGAGATTATCTTCTACTACTTACACTGTCAAATTACGTACTAGGTCTACCCGAAAGTTCTCCGAAAGTTCGGTTTTAGAATGAAAACTAATCTCGGTTTTCGAATACGGGCGAAAATGGTTTGTTGGGCTGAATCCAAGTCTTTCCGCATTCTTAAGGTATCGGCTTCGAAACATTGGAAATGCTTTCACGCAGCTTGTCGTTGAAAATGGGACAAATCGACCAAGAAATATGCATGCAGCACGACGCGAACTGAAAACATCTTTCTTTTCAAAGCCAAAAGAAAATATTTTGTATTTCGATCACTAATCATAAACGATACAAATTCTCATTCTATCTTATAGTAACTACACAACATAGAACAAATCGGCCAGACCCACTCGGTGATATAGATTAGATAGACCAGTATTAAAAATACTTCGGTATACATCACTTCAATGATCCTTATCCGTCTAGTTACGGCGAAGCGAATAGAAAGAAATTAAAGTTGACGGAAAGCAACTGAAAGAAATATTTACGTTGCTAGAAAGGGTTGCCATATAGGTTCAACAATAGAATATTGATTGTTCTTATACTACCTATGGTACACGGAACCTTAAATTTACGAGGATGTACGTGTACGTTGAAAGTTATGCAAACATCGAAAAAATTTATTATATCCATTGAATCAGGAAATGCTGTGAGTTAGGCTTGTCTGTCTAGCTTGTGTGTATAAATGTTAGTGTTACTTAGACGAAATTCGGTGTACGGTAACTTCAAATGTTTCTACCAAAATTAAAGTCAAAAGCTTTGTTTTCGCGGCCAAGAAAGTGTCATCCACACACCTCTCGCACATAGAACATAATCGATTCAAATTTTCACGCTGATCGAGACTATATACACTTTACAGGATCTCTGAAGCTTTCGTTTGACAAAATGAGTATACCCCAAGCCATCGATCATACCACCTCTCTATGTTTCATTATTGTGCATGTTGTGCATTTGTGTTTTAGATGGAGAACTCGAAGACGTCAATTAGAAAAACTTGATAGTCGTCACTTATTTTTGTTAAAAAATATCGAAGGCTAAACGTTGTTGCCATAAAAAGTATTGATTTTCAAAAGGCACTCATATGGAAAGTGTACCCAACAACAGACTTATGCAATCCAAACGTACCGCGGAAGAGTTATATGCCCAATCGTTATTCTGAATCAATTTCCATCATAAAATTCTAAAAGTTTGACTTGACTTATTTTGATATGATAAAAAAATTTCCCAAAATCGAAAATCATATAATAAAAGTTCAGTCTATTTAGTTAAATTTCTTCTTAAAAACTTAATATATCTTGTACCACAAACAGTTGAGTGTATAAGTATGCATTCACCTATTATAAGTCATTTCCCTCTAAGCTATAGTAGAAAATTCATGAGAAATTGTAAATTGTTCTCCCTTGTTCTTACTCCCTCTATGTCCGGGATAACGATAATATTACAAACTAAAACTCTTAGCTGAAAAAACTGGGTTAGTAAAAAAAAAAAGAAGAGCCAAGAATTGATTTAAGACGTTATGTAAGTGAGATAAAAACCTGTCTTTATAGAAAAGAGAGCAAAAAAAAAAAAAAAAATCGAAAAGATAGACTAGGAAAAAAAGAAAAACATACCGAGAAACAACATTAAAATGGAAGAAGACGGTAAAAACAAACACCCAGAGCCACAGCAAAGCAGAATACCAGTGGCAGTGAACACAGACAACAGACAACAGACAACAGAGTTATTGTTACATATTCAATGGGAAGTGCAGTGCGAGTGTATAGTGTGCGTGTGTGTGTGTGTGTGTGTGTGTATGTGTCAGTGCGCTATTTGTGATGTATAAGAAACTATTGACGTAAATTACATATAGCGTAAGCCAAGTCAAAGCAAAAAAGAAAAAAGACACCTTCGTAGGCTGAAATTTTTTGTCCGACCCGTACGTCAGACTTCCGCCCCCGCACGCGCAAAAGAAGCATTAAAGCAAGTTAAACGGAAATCGTTAAGAAAAGAATCACCTGTTCAAACACATTTTCTGGACTGCTCTCGCGGCTATCCTCTTCATGATGCGATGACGATGAGGCGCGACTCAATTCTATGCGCGGCGTTGAAGGTGTGCATAAAGTGGTCGCACCTTTATAAGTGTTTAACATTTCCACAGCAGTCACTGCTCCACCGCCACCTGATCGTTTGCTACCAAGAGTGCCGTTCGTGTTTAATTCCTGTTTAACTTTGGCCTTAACTCCTTCATCATCGCCATTATAATCAATGTTTGCTTTCGGTGTCGTTGTTATTGTTGTCATTGTTACTGTCGGTGATGCTGACGTCTGTTCTTGCGTTATTTGCTTAGGACCATTTCCTTTCATCATTTGTGCTTCTGTTCGCTTTGTTTCCGTTATTGCTGCTGATCTATTCATTCGGTGCTGTTGATAGTTCGCTTGGTTTTTATCATTTGTTTCCATCTGTAATTTAATTGAACTTATTTAGAAATGAAAATGATTTTATATGTTCTTTTGTTATTTTTTATTATTTGTTCTAATTATTAATAATTCAATCGAAATTCTCTTCGCTCTTCACTACATAAATCGTCCTATATAGGAATTATTTCGAATTTCTTTCTTTAAACGCTTACATATAAACACTTTTTTTATTGAATATAACCGCCCGCAATGCATTCATAATTTTTCTTTTTTTTTTAAATATTTAAAAATATCACACAAAAAAAAAAAAAAAAAAAAAAAAAAAAAAAAAACAATAAATAAATGCAGACAAAGCAATTTCTAATAGAGATTTCTAAAGGATAAGAGCGGACTTTTTATCGAATACAACCCAGTATCCGAATAATCTACGGCGCTGAAACCGTCAAATTAATTAAAAATCATCAAAAAGTCATAAATGCAATATATATCAGTCATTGAATTTAGTTTCTAATATTTTTGTTCGCGAAACAAGTAAAATTTCAATTACTCATCGGCCAGTTGCCATTTTTGTATTTCATAATGGCCAAATGGTCTCCTTCTGCTGAACACTGCAATTTCATTTCTTTTACTCGACTATTCAATTTCACTTTCAATAGTATACTTATGAATATGCTAAAATGACGAAACAGCTGATCTTCACATTCATTGATCATCTAAAAATTCATTCATTCATTCATTCATTCATTCATTCATTGAGTTATCTAGAAAATATTCATCTGCCTGAATGGCCGCGAGTGCAATCTTCCAAGTGCTGTTGTAATTTCAATAAGGCTGATAGCCTTTAGATACTAATGCTTTAAAGAATTCAGTCTTAGACGAATGAATTAATAATGATAATAAAAAAATTAAAAATTACTTCCGGCTCAAAGTCAATAAGAAGGGCATGGCAAAAGTCTGCCGGGAACTTGAAAACGAAAGAACTGTTAACAGTTAACGGATTTCGTTGGCAGCTTTATTTGCTGCATTCACATCAATTTGTTAGACGCTCAAGCGTCTTACAAGCGAAGCAACAACGAAAATAATGTATAAATATTAGAGACAAAGATCTCTCCAAGTTATACCACGAAATGTTTACGATATAACCGTTTGTTTTGTGTTGTTGTACGGGCAATATCAAGCCTGTGCAATACATGCCCATACGTGTACCTTTGCATTCAAGCCATTAATAGTAGTTTCGCAGACATTTTGAGCAAATCTGATAAGCAATTTCAATGTTCCCATTTTGAAGGATGGATGGACGCGAACCATTTTCAAAAACGACTTATTTAAAAAAATTCCCGTTATGAAAAAGAGTCTGCAACTTTTATTATCGTCCGACAAAAATCGATGTAAAGGGAGTAGTTTGTCGCATTAAATGAACGTGAACAATTTGGATGGGAGGCGACGAGTTTTGAACTTCCTCTCTTATAATTGTTCTTGAAAATGTTAAGCTTTAAATGGCGGAACCATTTAATTTTTAATATTTTATATTATTATTGAAATTAAATGAGAAGAGTGATTTAACATAAAAATTTACTGCGATAGTTTCGAACCGTAGACATCTATTTTTCGGACTCGCTTCCATGTAAGCATACTCGTGAAAAGGTAGCCTTTACACGGCAAGGCAGAGGGGTCGGCCTTTCGATATTGCTCGATGAAAATAGTTACATAAGATATTTATTTAAGGAGCGGTCTGGACTGATAATAAAAAAATTTAATTTAATTTTTTTTTTTTTAGGTTTTCGTGCCTACATCCCCTTCAAGCAAACTTGAAAATAAAAAAATATCAAACTATTTAGTTTTTGATTTGCTTACAAGGCTTCTATAACAATCTATATTAATCATTCAATTTTGCAGGGATTTACGCGCGACAAGAAGATTAGAAGTGTTGTGCGAATCAAAAATAAAATTATTTCATGCGAAAATAGCGAGAATTCTAAATAAACTATTATAATAATATCGTATGTAGATAGCATCATAAGTACGCGCGTATGAAGAAAACAACTTTGTTTTTTGGAATTTGCTTGTTTTTATATTTTGATACATTAATTAACTGTAGGTTCCCTCACTTCCTAAATTAAAACTAAAACTAAGGTTAAATCAATTAACTCTGTAATTTTGAATGCGCCAAATACCTCGATCGCATATTGATTGTCGAGCAGAGCAGCGATGAACGCATAACCGGGTAGCCGCTACTCGAAAGCTAGAATTCGGTACTATAAACGTTCATGGTAGATGCAAGTCTCATCATGACTGTCAGCAGATTGTTGAATAAGTCATCTACTTCGGCGTCATACTCATCCTTTTAACCCTTCATTCGCCGGAGAGTAACTTGTAAATGCCCGCCTTACCTACATCGCAATTGGATACAGGCGTTTACTGGCACGCTCAAGTTGATTCGACAAAAGCATAAGTAAAGCACTATACTAAATCGTTGGAAAATCATTGTTTAAATATACTTTCGTGTATATGGAAATATCTACGAAAATTTCTAATTTGTTTTAATACAATTTAATATCAAATAAGTCGCAACAGTTTTTTTTATTTTCTTAACTTTCTCTACCAAATTAATTGCTATTAAAATTAAATCCGTTACGGTTTGTTAGCCCCCACAAAAATGGAAGGTAACCTCTATCTGCCTTATCTTATCTTATTATTTCCTTAATACATTTTTAAATGGTGTCACAAAAACCATAACAAATAATGTCACAGACATTTTGTTGTTTCTAAATCAATCTTCATCAGTACTTCTTCAGTAATTTAAAAATGTGTGTTGCCCCACAATTTTGCTCTTTCACAATTACATTAGCACGTAATCGTATCTTCTTGTGTCATTAGAAAAACTCGCAGTTAACCATGCGCCTCTTCTCCCTACCGAAATGCGCTCAATGCGTACCTTGGTCTAAAGGAGAAGGAAAACACGTTTCGACAAAGTGACATATATTATAGACAAAAACGCACATACACACACACACACACACACATACCCTTTTGAAAATCTTCATTTATAGATGTGTGTACGTAAATGCACAAGAAAATGCACTAAAGCACAATGAAACAATTTAAAAACTTCATGTACATGTATGATTATATTGCAAATAAAATGTAATATACATATATATAGATGGCTGCACGTATATGTGTCCTTATGACCCTTAAGGAGTGTAAAACCGAAAAATAAAAAACAAATCTTTTCTTTAAACACTAAAAGATTTCCATGTAAAACCTTGAGCAGAAAGCAAAAAAAAAGGAATTTTTATTTTGAATCTTTTCATTCTACCTTGTGATTGCTGTTGATCCTGATTAAATATGCGCTTCTAAGTATGCTGCACAAATGCATCTAAATCATGAAATATTTATTATAGGCCACGTACACTGTTTACACTACTCTGCATTAGGCGACAAAGCGCATTGAGAAGCGAGCACACACACACACACACACACACACACACACATACATGCACATACATGCACATACATGCACATACATGCACATAAGTGGTACATATACATAGGATATATGTGTTATTTTTTAAGGCCCGTTTGTGCCTTCCTCTCAGCACGGCCGCATAAAATACATCGATCAACAATTTCCGGGACTACGTACGACTTTTTCCCACAGTTAACAGAGATGCAATTAATCCAACGCTTCGACAACATGTCTTCGATGCCGTTTTTATAGAAAGATAGTCAAAATGCGTTTCAGTTTCTGTAGTGACGTCATCATTTGCTTCAAACGTTTTTCTCTAGGTCATTTATTTCAAGATTTCTAAACAGCCAATAGAGCAAAAATTGTCATAACACTTTCCAATCCAACACCAAGTCAGTATTGTACTTTTGACCCCATCAAAAAGAAAGGCTTAAACTATAAACAAAATCGGATTTTTCTATTGTTTTGAAATTGGTAAAAGTAGCGCCACCAAAAATACGGAAACCAGTTAAAAAAATGCGCAAAACGATATGAAGTATCGAGATGCGTGATTTAAGGACTTGAAGTTACTATTTATCTGTAAGTCCCAGGAATTATTGATCAATATCATAAACATATGTATATACGTACGAGTTCAGTAGGCATAAAATTGAGTTTGGATGCATGGGTTTGAGTTGGTTTAGCTAGAGAAAGTTCATAAACCTTGAATTTAAGTTAAAAAAAAAAAAAAATAGAATTTTGTATTGAAGTATACATGTGAACACACAAGTGCTCTGCCGTTTAATGTAACGTAATTTAAAATCACATTTAGTCATTTTCGAAAGATTTTCAAAATTCATATCTTTTTCAAGTTTTCTTTTCATTCAATTTTTGACTATTGGTTAAGAATAACACTTGCGTTGCATTTTTCGCTGGCGCTTGCATTCGCATAACACTAGACCTATCTTTCAACTGATGGCATAATGGTCTTAGCATGAAACATAGCAAGAGCTTACCAAAGAAAGTGGCACATGTTACCTTTAATAAAATTGATTTAAATTAAAAGAAAATATATGTTTGAATTTTACTAACAAAACAGAAAAAATCGCCACGAAGTTCTTCCTTAATCTAGTAAAGTCATCAATTATACGTTCTTGTATTGGAAACCTGCTATCTGTCCGACAATATATCTTTATGTTGAATGCCTGCAAAAGATAGCAATAAGTACCAGATGATAACTACAAGCAGGTAGTGAGTTTTAATAGTGTATAGTACTTTTTGACTTGCTGGATGTTTGAACTGAAAACTGTGCATTTGCTGTGGCCGTTGCTTGGTTTTCTTTTCTTTTTTTTTTTATGTTGCAAGTAGTCCTAGAGTGCTGTTTTCGGATGGAAATGCACGCTTCAATTTATACGAATTTTTAAATAAGATGCGTTTTATGGTAGCGTTTTATCATTAAAAGAATACTCATCCTTCACCAGAGAATAGCAGCAATAGATGAAGTTGGCCGATTATACGTAATCCTTGAGTAGTTTGCTTAAATACAGCAACCTGTACGCGCCTCGGATGGTTTTGAATTAAAGAATTTGAAATA